AATTATATTTATAATTTAATTATTTTGTATGAGATTGACCGAAGTTTATTAAATCCAATGAGAAGAAGCTTAAACTCTTTGAGATCAGATTCCTAATTAAACAGTAAAGATAGAAGACAAATGAAGATTAAAACCTATAAATAAATAAATTTTAAATTATTATTTTGACTGTTAATTTGTAAATTTCATATTTTAGTAGTCCATTTTGATTACGTTTAAAATCAAATGATTATATTTAGTCAATAGTCAGTACCAGTGAAATCAGAGATCCACATAGAACCTGTCCCCACCCAAAATAAATGTATAATTCTTGTTTAATCCCTTAAAAATATAAAATTAAAAGTCATCATGTCAAAAATAACCCCAATATTATTAAAATAATTATTTTAACCTTTTAAAAAAAAAAACACTTTGACCCAAATGTTTTATTTTAGGCAAAAAAAAATTAATGTTGACCTAATAGTCAATTTGAACCTTAATCTTTTTATGGAGTATTTTAACCATTAAAGTTTCGTTTTAGGATAAAAATCTCTATTCTGGAGTGTTAACCATTTGTTAACTAATGATTTTTATCCACAAAGAGAGTTTTTGCCCTAAAAATAAAACGTAGAAAGTCAAAATAATTCAAATAAATAAATAAATAAAGATTGATGTGGTTATTTAGCCAAACATTAGAAATATTTTTCTAAGGTAAATTACATTTTTACTCACTAAACTTTAATTTCTCTTTTATTTTACTCACTATACTTTTAAATTTTTAAGTTTAATCACTTAATTGTATACATTGGATTTCTTTTTATCACTCTTCCATTGAATTACTAGGAGAGTGATGACATGACTTTTTAAATTAAACTTTTCTCATATGTTTCACTTTTCAACTTTATAATTTTCACATATTTTTCCCCTTTTAAATTTTTTTTTCTTCTTATTGACTTTGATGTAACAAAATTATTTATCACTAAAAGTAATAAATTTATCACGATATATTTATTTTGATGAATTTTATTTGTTTCATTTTTTGTTATAACAACCTCTTCATGTAAAGTATATTGTGGCAAAATTGTGTTTGTTACCATTTTATATTATTTATCGTAACAATTAAATTTTGTTACTATAATTAATTTATCATGACAAAGTATTTGTTACAATAAATTAACTATTTCGTCACTAGAAGTGCGTTTTGTCATAATTAACTTGTATGTTAACATCAAATATGGAGGATTTTTATGAAAAAAAATACACATTGCAACTAAAAACAATTTCTCATTATTTCTATTTTGTTGTAATATTTGTTAAATTAAAAAATATATTTTCTCTCAAAAATAAATTTTATCATGATTAACTTAAATTATAACATAAAATAAAAAATATTTTTGTGACAAAAAGAGATATTACTACAAAATTTAACTCGTCACTACTTTTATTTCATGACGAAATAAATTTTTCATAATTTCTTATTTTGACTAAATTTAATATGTTATTGTGACTAAATAAATTTTAGACAACTTGTAAAAGAATATTATTATTTTTTCATTATTTTGTATTGGCAAATGAATATTTTTTTAATAAATTGTTATTATGACTAAATAAATTTACCAAAATTTGTTATTATGAGAAAATATTGTAACTAAATAAATTTGAAACATTTTTATTTTGAATAAACTAATATATTATTGTGACTAAATAAATTTATCATAATTCTTTAATGTTGTAAATATAATTTGTATCATAATTTATTTCTGTGATTAAGTTAATTGGTCATAATTTATTTATGTTACAAAATAATATTAGTTAAAATTTGTTATGATAATTAAAAATATATTTAAAAATATTATAATAAAAAAATAATATTTAATATTATTAAAATAAACATAAATGTTTATAATAAAATTTACTAAAAAGCATAAAGTCATTTTCTAGAAATACAAATAAATTAAAATCCATCACGATGATCCATAATCCTTCCATACCTATATTTAAATACAAAAATAAATTATATTAAATTTTTAATAAATATTTTAAATATAGTATATAGAATATATTTCATTATTAAAAATTAAATTATAATATTACCTTAAACTTTGATTCGACAAAATATCAATATTTGATTGCTGAAAATAACACCACAACAACTTCATAAGAACATTAAAATAAAAAAAAACAGTATGTTGCAAAAAAAAAGCATTCACAAAGATAACCTTAAAAACGTGCAAATCAAAACACAGTTCAAACCAAATAAATTAATTAAGTTATGTTGCAAGTATATAATTTTCGTTTTTTCACCAAATAAATCACATCGTAAATTTTTTGGACACGATATGAAAAAGATCACAAACTCTAACACGTCTTATAGGACGGGTTTAAGTTAAATTATTATCCAACGATGATTGAATTTGAATGAAGTTGAGCCTAAATATCAAGATTAACAAACAAAAAAGACACGATTAGTTAATTATTTACTCATTTTTGTAGATGACTTTAAAATATTCAACTTAATTTTTATATTCGATACATTTGTGTAGGTGTCGATTTTAGATATTTAGAACAATAAGTTACTTTTATTTTAATGTAAGGTAATATATATTAATTAATTGTTAGTTATGAAATCAATTTTCCAACCCTATTTTATACTCCTATATGTGTTCACCCCTCATTATAACATGTGTAAACTAATTATTCAAGAACTTAATCAAGTTTGTCATCATTATATTTTATGTTTCATTTAATATTTTCTTTTTTCATGTAAAATAAAATTTTTATTTTTAATAATATTTTATCAATTGTATCAAATTTATTTTATTTTATTTATCTATTATTTTCTATATTATATTCTTTATTTATAATTAAATTTATTTTTATAAAATTTGAATATTCTATTATAATTTAATTGGATTAATCTTATTTTTATTTCAAATTTTTGGATTTTATTTTTTTTAAATATTTCCATTTCAGTTTTCTTGATATTATGTGATAAAATGTTAAGTTTTTGATAAATATTTTTCAAATAAATAATTTTCAATTAAATAAAAATAATTAATAATTTTCATATATTATGTTAAGTTTATTTTAATTATCTTAAATAGAAATACTTTTTTATCAAAATAAAATAATTACAAAATAAATAAAAATAAAATTTGATTTAATTTAATTTGTTGTCATTATTTTATTTGTAAAGATATTAAAATTTATAGTTACAAAATTCGTCAATATATAACTTTTTGTGGCAAAAAAATTGAGGGAAACATTTATGATAATATATTTCTAACTATAATTAAATTATATAACTACAAACATAATTTGTCAGCAAAAAATTGAATCTTAATATTTGTTTTGATATTTTTTTCTATAACAATAATTATAAGTTATAGTTACAAAATATGTCACTCTATAATTTTGTTCACGCCAAAAACTGGAGAAAAATATTTGTGACTATACATTTCTTCACTATAAATTAAATATATAAGTACAAATAAAACTTGTCACGAAAAAAATTAAATGTCATTATATGTTGTTACAACTTTTTCTGTCATAATAACTAAAACTTATATTCACAAATCATTTTTTTGGGTCAAAAAAATGGAGAGAATCATTTGGGACACAAAATAGTAACCATAGGCTACCTAGTTTTCTAATTGTAACAAAATATTGAAACGATTTTAGTTTTTGTCACAACTTTTTATATTTTTTAATTTAATGTGATGCTTATTTATTGTCACAAAAAATCATTAATAGTGACAAAAATAATTGTCACGAATACGTAAGGTAAAAATATGAATCTGGTTCAGAGAAGCTCCGTCTTTATAGATTTGAAGGGACGGTTTGATGGTGAGAGATTCATGGTTTCACTGCTTTTAGTATTCCTTTTCTTGGTTGGCATCATCGAAGAAATACATAAAACAAAGAGATGACAGAAACCACCATTACAACTTTCTTGTTCCCCCCCCCCTACTTCCATGCTTCTCTTTATTTGCGGTAACTTCAACATGGTAAAGCTTCAATAAACAGTTGGCATCCCATCCTCAAAGTAGCTGCCATCGAGATTTAGCTGCTCCAAGAACCGTAACCGTACAAACTATAGCGGCAAACGACCCTTAAAGTTGTTGCTATATTCATTAAAGATTGTCAAGAACCCAAGCTTGGAAACCCCGAGTGAGAACGTTGAATTGAAGCAGTTATACCTGAAACCAAGAGCTCTAGGCTGACTGAATTCAAATATAACCGGTTAGAGAGGGCCATCAAAGTAATTCCCACTCACATTCAAGTGATACGCTGAGAGAAATCAAGTGTTGTCTTAGGATTACACTCGACACCTGGCCTTGAACACCAAACTGGGTTTTCAAAACGAGGAAAGTAAAGGAAGTGACTGGTTTAGAGAAGTTTGATCTTTGCAGGGGGTATATTTAAGGGAAAAATTGTTCCATTGTATTGTCTTCTAGCCATTAGGTTTCTGTTTCATAAAGATAAACAAGAACAATTCCAGAAATAGCATTAACTCGTATGCAAAAGTATGTCATGATTTTCAGAGACATACAAATGCAAAATATTAGCACAATTTCTTTAAATGCTTCCATTGTTTGCAAACAGACAGAGAGATTGGATTATTTTTCCTTCTTAATGGCTAGTTTTGAGCTTTTTAAGCTGGATGGGTTAATATTGTTTGTGAGTGACGTATGGGGTTTTCAAGGAAAAGGTTATGATATTATTTTTATTTTATTTTTTCTGATTTGGAATTCAATATTTCATCAGAAAGTTAACGACCGATTGATAAAAAAAATTAATGTATAAAGTTAAACTATTAAATTTAAAAAATTAAAAGTATAGTGAATGAAATAAGATAGTAAAATTCAGTGACTAAATTTATAATTTATAGCAATTTTGTAACAAAAAAGGTAAGAGAAGGAAACAGAACATAGAATAATGGAGGAATTCATAAAATACTACAAAAATGGAGAGCAAAGGGAAAGTTCCAATCCCAACAATTTGTATAGTCACAATGTACGTTTAGCTTATACGCTCTTCTTATGATAAAAAATAAAATAAAAACTAACACAGAATCTAAAACCAGAATATGGTACAAAAGATAAAATATGTGTGTGTGTTACTGCATTATCATTGGACCTATATATGACTCGAATAAGTTCCGTAAAACACCTTGAACTTCGCCGGAGCTATGCTCGCACCGGATCAGAGCCACCAACGGATGAAAGAAATTCGGAAAATACTTTCTGAAGGAATCCTTCTCCAAACCACTCAATACCTTCAATGACGAGACAAGTAAAGATGTTCTTGCCGCCAGTTCTTCCCTTTTGGCCGAACCCAACGGAAGCACCCAACGTAACATCGGTTTCTCAATCGATTCCTGCATCACATACTGGTTGTCGGTACAGTTGAGGTATATCTGCAATATTTTCTCACACACTGCCACGAGTTGTGATTCTAGGTTTGTCTTCTCGGCGAATGATGGATTGTTTTTTATAATATCTTGGAGGAAGTCGAGGTATTTTTTATAAGCCTCGTTCTCGAAGTGAACCAAAGGGGGATCGGAAAGCTCTAAAACCAAACATGCTTTCCGTATTTTCTTTCGAAGAGTACTCTCGGAGTTCAGTTGCTGAGCATGTGACGCAATGGAAGACACCGTCTCGACAATGATGTTGATGTTGGCAGCTGACAAGAGTTGTAGATTCGTCTTGTACATGTCGATTATAACCTGAAAAAAAAAAAGCCAAAACAGATGGTGACTAATTATGTCGCATGACACAGAAATGTTGCGGTTTGTAACGGGAGAAACCTGCATAATGAGCAGCTGGATGGCGATATGATTCTTCATATTTGAAACCACATAAGCTACAGTGTGCATACTGGCATCCCCGAGATCATCGTTGGAGAAGCCGTGATCAGAACTTGTGTCGGTACTAGTACGGGATTGAGAATTGTCAGGCACCTCGATGTCATCCAATTTTCTCATAAGCTTCATAAACCCTGGATACATCGATACAGCAGCTTCTTTTATAGCGATAAAGATTTCTCGCCATTCCTCTTCCAAGAGTCTGCTTGCCAACTCTCCTGTCAAACGGGAGATTGCTGCAACTCCGGTGCTTGCAGGACCCTGTATTGAGCCTCTCAAATATCCAGTCAATACTGATAGCACATCTGATAGCTGGGGCCTCAATACACTGTAAAATCTAAGGTACAGATCAACTAAACACTGAGCTGCGACGGTGGAAGTTTCCGTGTCCCACGTACTTCCATCATGATGGGAGGATCTTAAAGTTGGTGAATCCTGCTCGTCTTTATGGGCACGTCTCTCTTTCCATGTACACCATTAAATATGGGGAGAACAACAGAACTAAAAACTCCAACCCAGAAAGCTCGTGAGAAAAGATGACCGTGATCCTTCAAGATGTTGAAAAGCACTTCCACTGAACTCTTTCGGATATCTAATCTCGAGTCCGATGTTAGTTTCGATAAACCTGAAACATCATATCGAATTTCTTTAATTTTAAAAGAGGAAAGACACTTTATTTTTGCAACATTGACAGGGAAAGGTGATGGCAATCATGCCTCCAATCAACATGGAAAATATGCGTCGAAACCTAAAATGGTATAAGAAAACATTTTATCTGGAGTCATCACAATGCAGACAACGCCTAGGTTGGGAGTAAATTGCCGATAGAGATCTACAAGAACGAGGTAGAAAGCATAAAAAAAATTACGTGGACATGTTCTCATTCGTCAGTCACTTTTTCTATATTCACCAATCGGCTTTCTTTGATTGCTAAGGACTCGATCACACAAATAGCCGATTATTCATCCATATTGCATAACAGTGACAGCAAGGTTATAGGATTTGCAAGCAACTAAACTATCAAGTTACCTGTTAGCAAAGGAAGCCAATATGATCCGTGATCATCAATATAAGCCGAACTTTGTACATCTGAACCATCCTTATTTATAACTGAAACAGATGAACCATTTTCCGAGCTCTTATCAGCACATACAAATCCACCCTCAGCAAGCTTGAGGGCACAAAACCGGAGAAATGCAATAGCATTGAGGCTAGCATCATTGTTAAACTTGCTATTTGTGAATTTGATGAGGCATCTTACACAATCAGTAAAAGTGGTCGCATCTGTCTCGGTTATATGAGGAAAGTATTCTCGCACTATTTTTTCCATCGTCTCAAAAGCCAACAAGACGATATTCTTCCGCTCATCAGCAGCAGCAGTTGTGAACACCTGAGAGGGAAATAAAGATTTTGTGAAAATAAAGGTTATCAGAGCTTGCATGAGAACTTAAAACTTACGAGACTTTAGCATACCATAAAAACACTTTTCCATCCAGATTTCACATTAGTGACACGGCTGAGGACCATCTGAGAAATACATCGAACTATTAATTCCCTTATTTCTGCAGAATTGCTATTCTGCATAATAATCACAAATGGCCTCAGGAATTCATTCTGAAAATTATAATTTGCCAGCTCCTCGCGCTCTAAGAATTTCATAGCAAGCTGCCGCAATGAATCCATCACAAAAATTGATACAGATAAGTTCTCGGACAATCCAACCGAAACAAAGAAATCAGAGAGAACATTCCACATTCGAGACCAGACTAATCTGATGCGGTTCATATTGTAATGCCTGCAATATAACATTCCAGAATAAGTACTTTCCATAGGAACACAAAGGAGGGAGATAGATGTGCTGGAGAGAGCATCGACAATGATCTATGAGGCTAAAAACGTGAGGATCTGTTGGTGATCGCAGTACAGGAAACTTTCTAAAAGAAAAAACAGATAAGAATCTTACGCAATTTCAACTAGTTTTATGAGGCTAAAAACACGAGGGTCTGTTGGACACTGCAACTCTGACATAGAAACTTTGCAAAGGGCTTTCACAAATGCCACGATTGCTTCACTGTTTAACCTTTGGCTATGTGCAAAAACATGGTTCAACTCAAAATTTCCTATCTGGTCCAATAAATTCAAGTTTGCAATGAATTGGTTAATCTGCTCTGAAGTTACCAGTCCTGAACTATTGACTCTGACAGTGGTGCTATCATATGAGCCCCCTCGGACGACTGCCATTACAGCTGGATTCTGGAGAGTTCCTTTTTTCATCAGATATTGAAGACCGACAGATTTTTCCAGCTTGTCATCTGTTTCAGTGTTGGACACAGATAAAAAGGATGCATCAGTCGCTGCACCTTCTCCCAATAGTTGCAAATGCTCAATTCTGGACAGGCATGTCAATATATGCTCCCAGGCTTCCTGAAGATTGTTACCGTCTTCAATGGCTATAGATATTATTGCCTGTATAAAATTAAATGTTTGAACAAATGAGATATAAAGAACACATCACAGCAAGAACTTATACTATAACCAAGCGAATTCAGATAAAAAGGAATCAAAAGGCATAACAAAAATCAGTAATAAAACCGTCTTTTCCTTAAAAAAAAAAGGCATAACAAATTAAGTGTAAGAATTCAGATACAACAATGCTAATTCTTCCTATGACATATCACATGAGAAAGCCAGGGGCACAGTTTAATTCTTCGTTATTATGTGCAAAAAAATATTATTTACCTTTACAGCATCAACATTCTTTTGTTTCATATCTGCAGCACAATGGAGAAAAGTAAACTTCGCCACAGATGTGACAAAAGCATCTCTTTGTATCTGCATGCCCATAACTGCAGTTACATGCACAGCATAGCGAAAGCCCAGTATACACTGAGTGGTAGTAAGTCTATCATCACTCTGGTCAAGTGTGACACTAAATGCAGCCAGCATGGGTCCCCAGCAGACCTCCACCATAAACCTCAAGATTGCTACATCTGAAACAGCATAATAAACGGACCTGCAACAGCAAAGGGCAAAAAAGAAAACTACCATTAACGAACATTATGTAGTTGGTCTTCTGGGAAATTTTGGGATGAGAAAAGTATAGATCAATTTAACACAAAAGCGGGATGAGGAGAATAAGAGGGAGGAAGAAGTAGAAGAAAAATCCTCTTCGTTTATTGATGCATGTAGTAGACTTACTGGAGTTTTATGCCAGCCATAAACTACATATCAAATGACTTAATAAGATAACATACATATCACAACCTATCACATGTAATCGTATTAAAGACATGCAAAAAATCATCTGAAGCTCACATATAAAAGGTATGAGGCAGCATACACAGTTAAGACTATCAAATTGTGACTATGATTCAAGACAACTGATATTGACCTACAAATGGAAAACTTCAACTATTACCTGCCCCACAAGTCATCTTGGAAATAACAAACCTTCTAAATGTATTCAAATAAAACTTACTCTGATTTTCCCGACTTAGCCTTAAACTGCTCTTGGATATGTCTTATGAGAAGCTCATTTGCACCCAAAGGCTTTTCTTCTGTCTGCTTCCAGCTGACCAGATTGAGTATACCATCTAAACCCAATAACTTATTCAAGCTGTTTGCCTGCTTGCTTTGAGGAACAGAAGAATCAGCATTCATCTTGATTTCATTTTTCACAATGTGATCATAAAGAGCACCAAGATACTCCTCAGGTAAATCCTTGCCATCGTCTATTCCTCGGTTGTTTCGGATGAAATCAGACTTGGTCATCTGTATTCAGATGCAACATATAACATAAATTAGAATATAATCAAATCTACCGTAAACTTTGCAAAATTAAAATCATAATCTGCATAACTAAGAGGAAAATTCCATATTATTGTCAATGGAATTTAAGCACCAGACTGGCTTACGAGACACACAATAGATCATAGAGGTTCTTCAAAAGATAAGTGCAAGCATAAGCAAGCATGTGAGCAAAATTCCACAATTAAGCGATGTACTGAAGAAACAAAAACGGATTTGACAAACAAACCTTATCTTTGACCATGTTATTATGGGCATCAGTGTTGAGCATTATGACAGAATATGCCAGGACATAAGCAGTATCTGCACTAGTAAATGAGTTTGGATTGCATTTACAATAGCGCTCAGCAAACTTTTCCATGATGCGGTCAATTTTCTGTGCCTCTCCTGGTAACCTGAAGCCGCTTAAGAAGAACCTTATCGCTTCACCAAAATCCATAGATTTGAAATTGAAGGAGTCAACATAAGCATGCATGACTCTCAAAGCAAATTCCTCCCTTTCACCCAAATAATCACCGATCATGGTTTCACTCAGTCCAGTGGTGTTTTTCTTAAGAAAAGCAGCCACTTCCTCTGGAGAGTCACCAACCTTTTGAGTTCTTATAAGAAACTCAATGCCTTTGGATGGCTTCTTATTAAACAATTGGACACCTTTCTGCATGTAAACCCAGTAAAGCTGTCACTAAAAAACCAAGCTTGTAAAGAAAAGGAGATAACTAAATATAAAATTAAGCCATGAAAGGATAGAAGCCAATAGTAATATGGAAAATTATTATGATATATATCAAAGCAGCCCTCCGTTAAAATAACCTGGAGTTCAATCTTGTAAGCCCGGCGTTGCTCAAGAGTAGCAGCATCTGACAATTCAGAATTTATGTCTGGATGTAACTCAGAATCAGGGACTGATCCATCTTCTGCAGGTGGGGCTATATGGCTCTCTGCTGAAGTGTCACTCTCAAAGCCCTTAGGCAAGTCAGAGTCACCTATCTTCAGCTGTTGGTCCATCCAAGCTCCCATTGACTTAATGATGCCAACTAAGCATTTCACTGATTCATGCCGGAAGGTAATATCCTGGACTGCAGACAAAGTTGTGGTTGAACCCGGTGGTGGCCCTTGCGCAGTTTTCAGAAGGCCATTGACAATCCTGCAAAAATCTGAAGGAATGAGAATGAGAATGAGAAACTAAAAGAAAAAGGGAAAAAATGCATAACAAGCTCTAAGAATATCATCAGATGACTGGTGCTTGAGCTAATTTCTATGTTGACCAACCATCATTTTTCAAAATTTGAGAAAAGATATCAAATTCATAAATGATTTCACCATGTGATTTGACAAGAAAGTGTTTTGATACATTTAATTGAAGTACAATATTAAAAAATAATGAAGTATGAGAAATTAAACGAATAGAAAAAAGAAATACCTTTCAAATATGTTAGGTGAATCCACATCACAATCATAGTTCACAAATATATCAATGATAATCTGTGAATCCCCACCAATCTTTTCCAACATATTAAGCACGGTCATTTTTTGTACAAAACTTGGCTGGAGAACATTCTCTAGAACTCGGAGGATTAGCATGGGAAAGAATATTCCAATTTCAGCTTTTAGTCCTGACCTGTACTTTGTTAACAAGCTCATAAAAATAGAACATTGGAGCTCAAAGATAGACATCACTGACAGTGCACTGTTTTTTAACAATGATAAGCAGAGAAAGTGCTTAACTGCATTAAGAAACCTGCATGATGTAACACATTATATAAGAACACTTGAACAAATTTAACAGAAGATTGCAAGAAAACAAGCGAGTTATTTATCATAAATACTACATAACATTCAAAAGCTGCAAGATAAAAAAAGATCATGTTAAAAACAGAAATATGGTTTTGAAGCATTTTCATTTCTTTTCTGTAACTTGCTAAGAAATTATTCTTCAGATAAATCATGCAAAATCCACTACCCAGTATACAATCATTTGACAAGAAATGGTTATTTTGGGAGTTACTGTGCCAAGAATTGGGGTGATTACTTGAACCAGCTAGCCTGACACAGGTTCATTCAATTGTTTTTCTTAGTTTTGCTCATATCTGGAGGCCCAAGACCACCAATGTCCATTTTCAGAATATGAAACCTAAACGTTTTTTCTGCTTTGTTTGGACGTTGAAATTGAACTTCAATCATTCAAAAAAAAACTTATCTTGATTAGGTTGGAAAACAGCCAAAATCCAAAGATTCATTACCATTTTAAAGTTCTTAAATAATTACATAATTATATTACAAGTAGGCTGGCTACTACCTGATAAATCTAATAAAGCCTGAAGTAATATGGCAACATGCAAACAACCGTATTAACTAAGGGTAATTATTTCATACACTGGTACTGTAAAAGAATTAATCCACAAACGGGGTTATATTACTGCCATGTGGCATATTTAAATGACCCTAATCCTTAAATTATAAGCTCTAAACTCTAAACTACAAATCCTAAATAGGACACACGACAACATTAGAGCCCCGCTTGTGAATTTTTTCCACCGCCATTGTGGGATAATAATCCATTAACTAATTGGAATATTATATGATACATATTGTGTTAACTTTAGTTTACACAAGCATGTCTATTTTAATGTGACGTGTAACATTTAGGGTTTTAGGTTTCAGTTTAGCGTTTAATCTTAGGTTTAGGGTTTAGACTTTAGAATTAGTATTTGGAATTAAATTATGTAAAATAAATTTTACACAGGCTATATATCAAATAATAAACTTAACTAATCGTGTATTTATATTAATAGTAGTAAGCCCCGTATTTAAGGAATAATATAGAACAACTTACCTCTCATTTGAGCGCCAAATTGAACTCCCATTATCCATAATAACCTTGAGGAGTTCCAAAGATAATATCTTCCCTCTCAAAAGGATATGATCATCAGGATTCTCCTGGGATGAAAACTTCATTGAGAACTTGCACAAATTCTTAAAAACAATAAATGCATCCTCCCTAATTTTACTACTAACCCCACCAGCACCCAATTCCACACCGTTCTTCGCCTCTTCCTCCCTGATTTCCTCCTCCTCCCCCTTAGACTCGCCATTTTGCGACACCGCAACCGGTTGTGAAAACTTCAAATCCGGAACTCCTTCACTAGCACTAATAACCTCACTAACGAAATTCTGACAAAAATAGATTGAACTCCCTTCATTTAAGTTCTTATCAGTAAACTCTAAAAGCTCACTAACTGACACGGTTCTGATAGTAACATCCATGGAATCCTCTTCAGCACGGGCGAACAGAATGAGCATAATCTGAGCTAAAACAGACTTAGCGCAGATCTGATTAGTTCCATTTAAACCACCTAAATACACATTGAAACAAGTTCTCACTACCTGAAGCAAGCAATCGCCACGGATCAAAACGCTGGGGCATCTAACAGCGGCTAGCAAAGCTCGTAGCAAAGGTAGCTCGACCGATTCCTCGCCAATGCCGCCGACTTTACAAACACTCTCGATAATTTTGTAGAGTATCGAATCGGTGTTGTTGCCTTCGATCTCTCCACGAACGACGCCGGCGGAGAATAATTTGGAGACGCATTCGAGGGCGGGATCGGCGACTTTGGCGTAATTAGAGTCGAGGGCGAGTAGGATGGGGTTGAGGACGAAATCGGCGTCGTAAGAGGAAAGGCCGAGCAAAGGAGAAGCTGGATCCGGTACGCCGGCGTCGGAGAGGGTTTCGAGCTTGTCGAGGGCAGATTTGCAAGAGGAAACGAGGTTAGAGTGCTTACGCCAAGCGGCGTGTTTGATGATCTTGTCGAATGACGGGCCAAGCACGCGGCCGCACCGCGACGGGCCGCCGAGTGTTTGGGAAGCTGACATCGAGAGCTGATTTTCTTTGGATTCTTCAGATCTGTGAGAATCTCGGCGTTCGATGGAAATCAAAGCCAAGTCATGAAAAATTGAAATTTGCTTGAAAAAGAAACAAGTGAAATCTAGATCTTGTGTTCTTTGTGAGAAATTAATTTCCTTTTGGTCTGTCTTAATATCATATTAAGCAAAACACGCTGACAATTCAACTACTTATTGTTAGTTAATTTTTTTAATTTTATATCCGAGGATAAACCAACATTTAGTCCCTCAACTTCATATATTTTCTAATTTCATACCCAGACATTTTTAATCACATTGTAAGATTTGACCAATCCAATCCAAACTCGATTTAAAAAATGAGTCAAATTAAAACTTGTCGAACTTGGATCAAATTATTGTTTCTAACCGTGTCACCGAAATGACCAAAGTCTATATTTAAAAATTAGTGTAAATTACTAGCTTACTATCTAAACTGACAATTTTGGTCCGTTTTAATATTTAATTTTTTCAAAATCATACATAACGTTTATTTTTTATTTCATTTTAGTACCCTCGTTAAAAACTTAACGTTAGATTTTGAAAAAATTAAAAGTTTAGGTACTAAAATGAATAAAAACTAATAGTTTAAATATTAAACACGTTAAGTTTTTAACGACGATATACTAAAATAAATAAATAAAACTATATGTTGGGTGTGCTTTTAAAAAAATAAAAGTTTATATACTAAAATGGACTAAAACTGATAATTTAGATACTAAACTCGTAGTTTATCTAAAAAATTAGGTATAGATTTTTTTTCAAGGAATAAATTACAAAGGATATTGAATTTAGTAGAAACTAAATATTAGTACAAAAGATTATTGTTTTAAGTTGTTTAGTCCATTTTAGTTTAGTGAACCAATAGAGAGTTTATATTCGTGGAAGCCGGTAATTTTGTTCACGGATTAAGCTGAAATTGGAAAATTATAAAGAAGGAAGTTAAAAAAAAATTTAAAATTAAATAATTAATATTTTAAGAACGATAGAGATACAATTTTTCATTTTAATGAAATGAAATGATTAAATATTCACATTTATATATTTTATATATCATTTTTTATTAAATAAATACTTATAAAAATATTGGCATAATAAAAATCAAAATAGTAAAAAAATAAAACAAACAATGTAATGTTCGTACATAATTTGCTGCCCGCCGACGTTTATTGTGCTGGTAGTCGTCAACAATATACACAGCAAATTTCGGCGAAATTAGCTCAAGCGAGTACACTCTAGTGATATTCAGATTATTTTTTAAAAAAATATTTTTAAATAATATCTTATTTTTAAAAAAATGAAAAAAAATATAAATGTGTTGTATGTCATTTAACAATTTTTTTAACAATAAACACCTAAAATTGTAATAAAAAAAGTATTATGCGCATATTTTTTTAAAAAATTCTTTAGACACAAAATCAATTTTAGGTATAGTTTATATGTTTTTTTTGTATTAAGCCTAATCATTTTGTCTGGACCAATTACTTTCACTTAAAAAATAAATAAATTTTAAAAATTATTTCATTTAAGGAAATTGGGCAGATGTACTAGAATAATACTTCAAAAAAATGGTTCATACGAGGTATTGAAAAATTATTTTTTAAGTAGGGTTAGATGAATAATGCATAGAAAAGCGATCGGAACATTTTACGTTTTCGAGAAATTAGCAAGAACACCATTGAAAAGGAATGTTGTTCTCTCAAAAGATTTCAAGTTTGAGCAACTCTATTTGCGGGTGCGTGTACATGTCAACAATTAATAAAGATTATGAATATGAGATCAAATTTTGAGTTAAAATCGTCCCAAAAAAACTAAATTAGAATGGTACTTCAAAAATAAATGATATCTACATTCTTTCTCAAGACTTAAGAAAGTGTTTCTGAGTTGCTTACCCTGAGCCACACTTGCATCCGCCACTGATCCCGTAAAAGCTCTTCATTGACAACAAGACCGGTATCGGTACAAGCGAAAAGAAGCCCAAGGACGGTGATATAATCCGGTTTCATACCCGAAGCCTTCATCAAATAGCTTTAATTTCCTCTTGGCTAAAACAACTTTGAACTAAGCCTGCAATCATCGTCTGCAATGAAATCACATCCTTATGAACCATCCGCTCGAAAATCGACTTCGCATCCTCCAAACTACCACGCTTACATACATGTCCAAAAGTGCAGTACCGAGTATAGAATCCGCATCACACTTCAACACATGAACATGGACTTGCCTCCCTACTTCTAAAAGAGCTAAACCAGTGCAGGCTCTCAGAACACTTGTTAGTGTGGCTTGATCAGCTGTAAAGCCTGCTCATTTCATGCTCTTAAACAGATTTAAGGCTTCGATGCCATCGCCATTCAACGAGAACCCTCCGATCATTGTATTCCAGGAAATCACCTTCTTATGAACTATCCGGTCGAAAACCGATTTTGCATCCTCCAAACTACCGCTCTTACAATACATATCCAAGAGTGCACTACTGAGTATAATATTCGCATCACACTTCAGTTCATGAACATGGACTTGCTTCCCTACTTCTAAAAGAGCTAAACCAGTGCAGGCTCTTAGAACACTTGCTAGTGTAGCTTGGGAAGCTGTAAGGCCAGCTCTTTTCATCGACGCCATCACTATTCAGGGCAAAACCTCCGATCATCATACTCCATGAGATCGCATTATTATCAACCATCCGCTCGAAAATAAACTTGGCATCCTCCAAACTACCGCTCTTACAGTACATATCCAAAAGTGTATTATTTAGTATACAATTCGCGTCGAACTTCAACACATGAACATGGACTTGCTTTCCTACTTCTAAAAACACTTGTTAGTGTGGTTTGATCAGACGTAAAGCTAGCTCTTTTCATACTCTTTAACTGATTCAAAGCTTCATCGTCATGACCATTCAACACAAGCCCTTCAATCATTGTATTCCATGAAATCACATTCTTATGAACCATCCGCTCGAAAACCAACTTAGCATCCTCCGGACAACCGCTCTTACAGTACATATCCAAAAGTGCAGTATTGAGTATAATATTCACTTCAACCTTCAACACATGAACATGGACATGCTTCCCTCCTAAAAGAGCTAAATCAATACTGGCTCTTAAAACACTTGCTAGTGTAGTTTGAGAAGCTGTAAAGCCAGCTCTTTTCATACTCTTAAACTGATTCAAATCTTCGACGCCATCACTATTCAATGCGAACCCTCCAATCATTGTATTCCAAGAAATCACATTCTTATGAACCATCCGCTCGAAAATCGACTTGGCATCCTCCAAACTACCGCTCTTACAATACATATCCAAAAGTGCACTACTAAGTATAATATTCGCATCACACTTCAACACATGAACATGGACTTGCCTCCCTACTTCTGAACAAGTACAGGCTCTTATAACACTTGCTAGTTGTAATACTCGATTTTCGTCCGGCCTAGTTTTTTCTCAAGGCTCAGACGTTTTATTGAAGCTGATTTTGAATTGAAGTTGCTTTTGAAGTCTGGGACATCATCCAAATTGCAACAAATTTTCAAGAAAGATTCGTACATTTCCAGGGCATGATGTCTTCTTGAGATGTGACGGGCTTTCAATTAGCTTTCCAACGCATTTTTAAAAACCTCAATCGAAATTCGAAAACTCAAGATATGTTTATTTTAGCGAAAGACAACGCGTGAAAAAAATTAGATATATGCCCAATATGAGAATTTTAATTTAATACGAATTTTCAATAATTTTATTGAATATTTATAATTAAATTCATGTATTTAGGGTAATTTATGATATTTTTATTATTTTAGGATTATTTTTCTTTTATTAGTGTACCTAGCATTAATTAAAAGATACTAAAGTTTTATCTTTTAGGGTTTTTAGGAGCCTATAAATAGACACACATCTTATGTAAATGACACATGTTTTTTTTTGGAGAAAAGGATAGCCAACCAAACATTGTAATTTGAGAATGCAAGCAATAAAAGATAAATTTTTTTAAAAAAAAGATAATTCTTATCTTTTTCTTTTTCTTATTTTTTTCCATTATTCTTATTTTTTAAAAATCAATTTCAAGATTTTTTTCAAAAACTCAAACGGATGAGATAAAACAGAGGAACAAAGAAAATACTATTAAATACATTTTAAAATCTAGCATTCCTTGAAGTTTCTCAATGAAAACCGACATTTTTTTATTTCTCTTCTTATTTTATTTGTCATTGTTTCGGTTAATTACGATCTTACTTTTTGAAAATCTTGTCAAATGAAAGAAAAATGATGAACTAGGAAAATGGTTTTAAACTAAATCTTTATGGATTTACTATTCCTTGAGTTTTCTCGATGAAAACCACAATTTATTTTGAATGAAGAAGTATTTAAAAAAATAGATATATTATTTAGTTAAATGACCCAATGACCCGTTTTGGATCCCTATGGAATCCGTGTGTTTTCACAAGGGTAAGAGATAATTATTTTTATAATTCCATTATCTTATTTGAATTTTGTTTTCCTTTTTGAATTAAATTTCCAACTTCACCTTTATTTTTAGATTTTATTTAGTGTTCTTCTTTATTTTTTAAAAAACTTTCACATTTGTTTTTTAGATTTTATTGCTTAATTTTCTTTATTTCTTATTTATTTATTTATTCTTTATTTTTTTATTATGATTGATTTATCGATTAAAATATTAACTTGATTTACTTTCTTTGTTTGTTAATACAACATTTTAAATATTTCCTTTTTAATTTGAATTATTTTTTTACTTATTTGAATATATTTGTATTTATTATTTTTTCCATATTAGTTTTATTTACTTTTAATTTTTATACTTCCATGTTTTTATTTATTTTTTATGTTAACTTAATTTATCTTTTTTTGTATATTTTATATTGTTTTCTTCTATCGTGATACTCGTAACTTTATTTTATTATTTTGCATATTATACTTAATTTTTTTACCATAACCTTAATTCATTTTTTTACAATACGAGATTCTTAAAGAAAAGTAATTTTAATCTTCTCTTTAATTTGCCCTCAAACTTTATTTTTAAAACAATTTATTTACTCTTTATTGTAAATTGTTCATGTATTATTTACATTATAATCAAAGC